CAAGGTAGCACTAGAGGAGTGGAGGTATTTACTAGAGGGGGCTGTACACCCAATATTAATATTTACTGATCACAAAAATCTAGAGTATTTGAGGACAGCAAAGCGCCTAAGACCACATCAGGCCAGGTGGGCACTCTTCTTTTCGCGATTTGTCTTCCACATCACCTATAGGCCAGGGTCAAAAAATACTAAGCCCAATGCGCTCTCCCGCATGTTCGGAGACCCTGAAGAGACTCCTAAACCTGACAGACCATGGAGTATGATCTCCATCGATTTTTTTGTGGAACTTCCACCCTCTCAGGACCACACAGCGATCTTTGTGATCGTAGACTGTTTGTCCAAAATGGCCCATTTTGTACCTTTAAAAGACACACCTACGACCCCTGAAACAGCACAGGTTTTTATCAGGGAGGTGGTGAGACTCCATGGGTTTCCTAAGGATATCGTGTCAGACAGAGGGGTTCAGTTCACATCTAGATTTTGGAAGGCTCTATGTGAAACGCTCGGGATTAAGCTGTCGTTCTCCTCGGCATATCACCCACAAACCAATGGCCAGATGGAGCGAACAAATCAGACCCTGGAGCAGTACCTCAGGTGCTATACCACCTTCCTCCAAGACGACTGGTTGACCCTCCTGCCACTAGCAGAATTTGCGTATAACAACGTGAGTCATTCCGCTACAAAGCAGGCTCCCTTTTTTGCAAATTATGGATTCCACCCCGTATTCTTACCAGATCTGATTACAGAAGTCACGGTCCCGGCCACGCAGGACATGTTAAGTTTTTTATCCTCTAATAGCAAGGTGCTGCAAGAGGCGATGGCCAAAGCTCAGGCGGACAATAAGAGGGCCTTTGATAGGAGGAGAAGGGGAGAATTAAGCTTGCACCCGGGGGACCAGGTCTGGTTAGCCACAACAAATCTTAAAATGTCCTGTCCATGAAAGAAACTGGCGCCTAAGTTCCTGGGTCCGTTTCGGGTAAACCGTAAAGTCAATGAGGTGGCGTACAAACTCATGCTCCCCAAATCCTTTAGAATTCATCCGGTCTTTCATGTGTTACTATTGAAGCCGGCGACACCAGACCCCTTTCCAGATCGGAGGTCTAAACCACCAGAGGCGATAAACATCGACGGAGAAGAGGAGTTTGAGGTAGAGGCAATCCTAGATTGTAGGAAGAGGAGAGGCCAAACTCAGTTCTTGGTCAAATGGAAGGGGTACGGGGCTGAGGAGAATTCGTGGGAGCTGGCCCAAAATGTTCACGCCCCAAGACTCGTTCGGGAATTCTTTCAGAACCAGCCACCTAGAGGGGTCGGTTGGGCATCCGGAGGCTGCCCATGGGGGGGGGCAATGTCAGGGACTGCGGGTCTCGCTGCGGCGCACAGGTCTGCGCATGCGCAGATTGCCTAGGCGCACTAATGTGCAGGCACCAGGACCTGGGCTTTGGCGGCAGCAATTGCGGCCGCGCATGTACACTCGCGCGCGCGGCGGGGCGCGCGCCTGGCACCAGTGATGGAGCAGGGCGCACTATTTAAACTGGCCAGGCGGTGACCAGGTTGCCGCAAGGTCTAGTTCCTGTACCCGTGTTCTGAAGTGTGTTCCTGTTGCCGATCCTGCTTGTCCTGACTTGTGTTGACCTTCTCCTGCTCTGACCCCCGGCTCGTCCCTGACTACTCTCTTGCCTGTTGCTATATTACTACTTGATCTCCCGTTGCTGAACCTTGGCTCGTGACCCGGCTGCTCTCTGTCTACTGCTTGGTACCTACCTGCCTCCACTGTTACCGACCCGGCTAGTCTGACTACGCTCACTCCTGACTGTCATCCATCCATCCTGCTCGGGACCTGGACTTGTCAGCCTCTTCACATCAGGCTCACCTCCGGCACGTACCCATCATCAGGGGCTCTGGTGAAAAGGCAGACTGGAACTTCGCGTCCTGGGGAATCCCGTTCTGTGGATCACTGGAGATTCCGCCGGGCGGTGCCTGACACTACCCCCTACCCCTCGGTCCCCGACCCTTCTCCCATATCCGGCTGAGCCTACTCATTTTGTTGTTTATTTTATATCTCATTGCCTCAATGCCCTTGTGGTTACGGTCAGTGACTATGTACTGTGTAACTGTAGTTGTATTGCCATGGTCATGGACCAGACCCTCTCCTTCCTGCAACCTGATTGTTTGCTCTCAATTTCTAATATCCTTGCACCATGCCTTGACTGATTTCTGTGCTAAGACATTCGTATATTGCATCCTTTTGTTTGTTTTCATTACGGTGAACCTTCTGTTTGGTTCGCTTTGTTTAAAACTTACATAAATAAAGAATTACAAAAAAGGTGAACTTATCCTTTAATGACAAATTGGAAAGTGCATATATGCACTTTTTGCCCCACAATGGGCTATCAGACATTCATTCTTTCACTGGCCTGTGTTATCCTCTGGCAGCGCCACATTCTCCTGTGCATTACATGTAAAAATAAAATGGGACCAAAATAGTGCTCTCTGCATAATGCTTTCTGTTTAAAACATCCCATATAAATCCACTTTCATTAAAAAGCACCTAAAATGCATCAAAATTTCAGCATTATAAGACATGGGTTAAACCAATAACTTCTTTATACCACCAACACCACTCAGCTCACCAGCATGGCTACTGTTGTCTTATAATGCTGATATATACATGGTAATCATATCCCCCCTTAATTACCTCTCTCAAGATAATAAATTCAGTTTAGATAATCTTTCCTCTTAGCCAAGGTTTTCCCTGCCTAAAAAAATCAATCAGTGTAGCCTAGGGTGTGGTTGCCATCATCCCTATTACCATACAGGGAGAATTATTGCCTTACGTTTTGTGGGATTTTTAAGTGCGGACTGCACCTAGGTGCATGAGAACAAGGGGGGAAGGGAAAACTTGCCTCACTGCTCTCTACAGTCACAAATACTGGTCCCCCAGCATAATAGGGGACCCTTTCCATGAACACATCAAAATAAGTCAAACTTGAGGTTGCAAGATGGCAATCAGCTTTTGAGGGATACCACAGGATACATGTTGTAAAAACCACAAATTTGTGTAGTGAATGTTATGTCAAAAATTGTTGCTTCTTTTATTGGTCAGTATGTACTGCCTACCTGATATATATTAACGTGTTCTTTGCAATTTCTCCCCAATATTTTTTTTTGTGAACTGGTATCCAAAACAGAATAGCATATTCCAGATGAGGTCTTACTAATGAGTTGTACAGGGTCAAAAGTATGTGTCTCTCTGGAATCTATACCCCTTTTAATACAAGAAAGTATTTTGCTCTTTTTGAAGTGACAGCTTAGCATCCCATGCTATTTTTAATCACTTCACACCGGCCGCTCGCAAATGTGCGGCCTCCCGGCGTCTGGGCCTAGACGCCGAGTGGCCGCACATTTACATTGATGTAACAAAAAACATATGTGCTGAGAGCGTGCGCGCTACCAGCACACATGTGAGGTAGTCACGGAAAGGTCCCGGTCCGCTCTTTCGATCGGGACCTTTCCCAATCATGTGACCGGCCGTGACGTGACGTCACGGCGGCCACATTACACTAAGCCCCGTCCTGCCCACCTCCCAGCGCAGGAACTCCTCTTCACGCTGGGATGATCCGGCGTGAAGGGGTTAAGTCTATGATCTTCCAGAACACACAGATAGTTCTCGACCCTTGAATTCCCCAGGTGTTCTCCTAGTATGTATGATGCATGCATATTTGTATGCTCCCAAGTGCATAACTTTATATTTATTTATTTATTATTAACACAGATCAACTAATCTTCATAACAAATTTTATTAACTTTCCCTCCCCTTTACCCCTACCCCCACCACCCTTATTCTCCCGTCCCACTCTCTTCTTATTTCACAGATACTCTTAATTATAATAACTTCTCTTCACCTTATACCTCCTTTCCTTATCCTCTTAACCCTCTTATTCCATCAGTTCAGCAAATCTCCGTGTACTCCTAAATTCATACCACCTTTTCCATGTTTCCATGAACTTCTCCATTTTATCTTCTCCACTATGGTATAGCTCCTCCCTCTTATAAGTATATTCTACTCTCTTCATCCAGTCTTTGACTTCTTGAGATGTCCAAAATTTAGGGATTAGGCCTTTTGCCGCATGAAGTGAATAAAACACCATCCTATTTTTGCATTGTTTCACTGTGAGATCGGTATTATGAAACAAACACACCCACGGGTCCATTATCACCTTTTCTCTCGCTATCTCTCCCACATTCTCTCCAACATAGTGAGGAGTTCTCTGGGTGGTATTTATGAGCATTACTAGGCGTAACATACCATCTTGTCAGAAGTTTATAGTTCATCTCAACTGTATATATATTCGTTTTTCCCTGTGTAATCCTAAATATTTGCTTTTGCTGTTGCTCATTCAATTGTGATCCCAACTCCCTTTCCCATTACTCCATATATCCTAATGATGTCAGTTCAAAAATTAAAGTAAGTGTCTTATACATATGTGAAGTGCAATGTTTTTGTATCCCCTCTAAACTCATTATGTGCTCTAAAGGGTGCAGGATTTCCACCCCTTTTATGGGTTATGGAAGTGTTATAAGAAAATGTTTTAATTGAAAATACCGCCATTCATTCATCAAAACAAACATATCCTATTTCTATTTCAACTCTTGTAAAGTGCATATTTCTTCCGATCTCATAATATATTTTACACATATATTCTTATCTTTTATCTACTTCCCTGAGATATTACTCCTGCTCGGTGTAAAGTACCGTATTTTTTGCTCCATTTGATGCACCTGACCATAAGACGCACCTAGGTTTTTGAGTAGGAAAACAAAAGAAAATATATTCTGAACCAATTGACTGCAGACATAGTACAGGAAATGACCAGAGACTGCAGACATATTACAGGAGATGACCAGAGACTGCGGAACATACTGCAGGAGATGACCAGAGACTGTGGACATAGTACAGGAGATGACCAGAGACTGCAGACATACTACAGGAGATGACCAGAGACTGCAGACATACTACAGGAGATGACCAGAGACTGCGGACACATGACAGGAGATGAGCAGAGACTGCGGACACAGCACAGGAGATGGCCAGAGACTACGAACATAGTACAGGAGATGACCAGAGACTGCAGACATGCTACAGGAGATGACCAGAGACTGCGGACACATTACAGGAGATGTCCAGAGACTGCGGACACAGCACAGGAGATGGCCAGAGACTACGAACATAGTACAGGAGATAACCAGAGACTGCGGACATAGTACAGGAGATGACCAGAGACTGCGGACATAGTACAGGAGATGACCAGAGACTGCGGACAGAGTACAGGAGATGACCAGAGACTGCGGACAGAGTACAGGAGATGACCAGAGACTGCGGACACAGTACAGGGGATGACCAAAGACTGCGGACACAGTACAGGGGATGACCAGAGACTGCGGACACATTACAGGAGATGACCAGAGACTTCAGACACATTACAGGAGATGACCAGAGACTGCGGACATAGTACAGGAGATGACCAGAGACTGTGGACAGAGTACAGGAGATGACCAGAGACTGCGGACACAGTACAGGGGATGAACAAACACTGCGGACACAGTACAGGGGATGACCAGAGACTGCGGACACATTACAGGAGATGACCAGAGACTTCAGACACATTACAGGAGATGACCAGAGACTGCGGACATAGTACAGGAGATGACCAGAGACTGCAGAACTTTGGGGAGCGGAAGGGGAGGCGGGTACCCGAATTTGACAGGTACCCGCTCCCACTTCCGCAGAGTTGTCCTCCCTCCCTGTCTTATGACAGGTCCCAGGTCGTGACAGGTCCCAGAATGCTACAAATTTGGCCATATGCAATATATTTCAAAACATATTTCAATAAATATATATATATATATATATATATATACAGTGCATGTTGAAATGTGTTTTTTATATATTACAAAATATCTGAAAAATATTTTTAAAAAAATATATTTTTTAAATATATTCTTCAGATTTTTTTTAACATATAAAAAAGTAATTTTAACATATATTTTTATATATATTTGTAAATGCATTCCAAAAATGTAGCTTTGTATTTTTAAAGACATACAGTACATTTGAAATGTATTTTTTAAAATATATTTCAAATATATTTTTCTTCCGTGTGGGCCCCTCCCCCACCTCTAACAACAGGAAAGGAGGATTTTTCTCTACAGTTCTTCCTCCAAAATTATACTTCTATCTTCTTTCTTTCTTATTTGATTCATTCTGCTGTATTCCTTTTTTTCTTTGGGATTGTATGCCCACCTGGGGGGCATATATTTTTTTATTGTACTGTTACTTGTCTTAGGAGTTTTTGCCCCTCCACCTTTTGCTGATTTACTCTTCATATTAGTTTTCTTATTGGGGGCTTACACTATTTTTCTCCTCTCTCTATTTGCACGCTCAAGCAGTATAGGGTATGAATCACTGTAATAAATAATATCCTTCCTCTTGCAAACGGCGATTTCTGTAGTATCGCCACCTTTCTCTTTCATTTTCAGTGCTCCCCCAAACTTCCAACCTATTCTTTTTAATTGGCACTTTATTTTGCACTAGGTGACCCCCTGTTTTCTCTTCCCCCCACATCCTTAGGCTCTTTTATTCCTCAGTCATCTGCATATTATAACAGCATCCTTATGTTAACATGGTAATAGTGTCTTTGAGCACTCACCGTTCCACGTGTTCCACCGCCCAGATGCTCTCCCGACCTGTTTGCTTGCTGCAGTGACTGTCTGCAGAAATGTCTGCAGCTGCTCCTCCGTTGTCCTCTCTGTGGGGGCTACAGGGGGTCCATCCGGCACTTTTGCTTTCCTCTTGTTCTCATGCTCCCCTTCCTGGCTGTACCTTTCCCAGGGTTCCACATGGCTGCCTCGCAGCCGCCTCCTAGCACCACCGTCACTCCCGGCTCTACCACATGGCCGGCACCAGCACTGCTCCACTGCTCCAGACAACCCCGGTATCAGGCCTCCAGGACCAAGGGGAGAACACAGGACAAGACCCAGGTACTCTCTTCTCACATTAAACTTGGCGGAAGCATCAGAGCTCACATCACACGCTCCCTGTCGGTGCCATGTTTTTTGAACTTTACATTTATCAACATTAAACCTCATTTTCCACATACGTAGTTGCCTAATAAAACCGTGCATTAAGGTCTACTTGTAAGGTGGAGACATTTATTATTATTATTATTATTATAATAATACATAATGTATATAGCACCAACAGTTTGCACAGCGCTTTACAAAATGAAGGTAGACATTACAGTTACAATACAATTTGGTACAAGAGGAAACAGAGGGCTCTTGTAACGGACCACCTGACAGCACCTCTATCAGTCCCCTGATAGAGCCTCCCCAGAGTGCGGAGTCTAAGTCTCGAACACTTGTTCACCAGGGCCCCTGATGGTGGGGATGGACTTGGAGCACTCCGGGACCAGGTCGGAGCTACTGGGTATCTCTACCAGGGGTAGAGGAGTCTGCCAGAGGCTCCTGTGGGTTAAGAGTCTGATGTGAGGGAGCCCGGGGATCCCTGAGGGATGGATAGATGAGCAAGATCAGAGTCAAACAGGCCGTTCCGGTAACTAGCGGGTCGGTGCGGTACAAGAGGCAAGGGATAGTCGGGTCACACGCAGGGTCAGTACCAGAAGATCAGATCTATAAGGGAGCATCCAGGAGCAGAGTCAGGCAAGCCAAGAGGTCAGGACAGGAGAAGGCAACAAGGTCAGATAATCCAGATCAGAGTACTCACAACACAGGCAACAGGATACGCAAAGACCATTCGGCAACAAGTGTCTGTGCAGGGCTGGTTTAAGTAGCCCGCCCTGCACCTGACAGGCACAGCCTAGGTCCCAGTGCCTGCCCCGTACTGTCATAGATGACGGGTGCACCTGGGTCCTAGTGCCCTGCTGCCTGCATGTCTTGACAGACACCTACGCATGTGTAGACCCATGCGTCATGATGGTCCCTGACAGCCCTGCTCATTAGAGCTTACAATATAAGAGGAAGGGTTGAATGATACAAATGGTAATAGCTGTTGAGGATGAGCTGATGGAGGAAATATAAAGCAGTTTACCATTTAGAAGCAGGATAGGCTTCTTTAAAGAGAAGGGTTTTTTAGGGATCATCTAAAGGCAGATAGATTAGGACAGGGTTTCTCAGCCAGGGTTTTGTGGAATGCTAGGGTTCCTACAGAGGTTGCCAGGGGATTCTTGGGCAATTTTTGCCTCTCAGGTAAGTTCCCACATTGAGCTTTTTAGCAATCTGTAAGGGTGTAATTCTTCCCAATGACCACAACTGTAAGGAGCATTTTTGCCTCTGACTATTACACTAATGTATTATAAATTGTAGATAAAGTCATTTTAGTAGGGGTTCCATGAGACCGGAAAGTTATATCAAGGGTCCTCTGTATGTTGAAAAGGTTGAGAAAGGCCGGATTAGGAGATAGTCAGACAGATTGGGGTAGGGAGTTCCAGAGGATGGGAGAAGCTCAAGAGAAGTCCTGGAGCATGGGAAAAGGTGACACGGGAACTAGACAGCAGAATGTCTTGGGAGGATCAAATAGAGCGATTTGATTGAAATTTTGAGACCAGGTTGGTGATGTAGCTGGAGGCAGATTTGTGGATGGCTTTTTAAATTGTTGTTAGTATTTTGAATTTTATTCGTTGGGTGAGTGGAAGCCAGTAGAGGGATTGGCAGAGAGGGGTAGCAGACACTAAACAGTTGGTAAGGTGGATGAGCCTGGCTGCAACATTCATGATGGGCTGAAGGGGGGATAGTCTATGAAAAGGTAAGCCAATGAGGAGGGAGTTGCAGTAGTCGAGGCGAGAGATAAACAGGGAGTGAATTAGAAGCTTTGTGATATCATTGGTTAGAAAGGATGTTTATTTCACGACACAGCTTGGTGTCATCTGAAAACACCGAAACAGTACTTTTAATCACAGACCCTACAGTTTTAAAATATGTTTAAAAGTAAGGTTCCGGACATCGAACCTTGGGGTACATCCCTAATAACCTTAGACCATCCAGAATCATTAATCACTACTCTCTGAATACAGCTTTTTAGCCAGTTTTCTATCCATTTACAAACTGAATTCTCTATGCCTGTAGACTTTGACTTACACATTAGTGTATTTGTGTAATAGTGTAGGGAACAGGGTAAAATGCTTCTTCAAAGTCCAAATATATTATATCCACAGTCACTTGTTTGTTTAGGTTGTCGCTTATGTCCTCAGAAGAAAGCAGATTTGATAGTCTTTCAGGTATCTTTGCTGTCTATTTCTTAAAACATTGTGTTTTAGCAACAATCTTCTATATGACCCTTTACCAAACTTTTGAATATTTTTCGAATTATAGAAGTTAAACTAACTGGTCTGTAGTTACTTTGGCAAAGACTTTGTTACTTTTTTCAATATAGACACCACATTGGTCTTACATCAGTCCAGTGGTACTACACCAGTCATTAAAGAGTCTCTAAAAACTGGGAACAATGGCTTTGAAATAACAGAACTTGTATCCTTGAAGGACTCGTGGATGCAAGCCACCTGGTCCAGGTGCTTTATTCATCTTTATTTTGTCTAAATGTTTCTAGACTATCCGTTTTAAGCCACTGGTGTTCTTCTGGGGCTTTGTCAATACTATCCACATTATGGACTTAAGCCTCCCATTTTTTGTACACACAGAACTGGAGAAGGCATTTAATACATTAGCCTTCTCTTTATTCCCATTCACCAACTCTAAATTATTCTCTAATGGGTTTACATGTGCAGATCTGACCCTTTTACTATTAATATATTTGGAGAATTGTTGGTGTTTGACCCATTCTCTTTAGCAAACTGTTGTTCCTTTTGAAATTTTGCAGGCCTTGATTTTCTTTTTTAGATATTTTTGTAACGTAATTTGTAACTTTTAAAAGATGATCAAGTTCCTTTCTTTTCCAATTTTTATACTTTATAGCTATATTCTTTTTAACTTTGGATGTGAGCCATCAGGATTTATTTTTAGCCTTTTAAACTTATTACCCATGGGAATATACCTTTTAGTATGTTTGTATAGGTAGTTTGAAACACTCTAATTTCTGTTCTCTGTCCCTTAACGATAACTGTTCCTCCCAGTCTAAGTCTTGGACAGCAGCCCTCAGCCATGTAAAATTTGCCCTCTTAACAATTTCAATACCAGACACTTTTACCCTCTTCCTGCCCAGGAAAACTTTCAGCTTTCAGTGCTTCCACACTTTGAATGAAAATAAATCATGCAACACTGTACCCACATTTTATCATTTTATTCACACAAATAGAGCTTTCTTTTGGTGGTATATGATCACCAATGGGATTTTTATTCCTTGCTAAATAAACAAAAAATGACCACATTTTTTGAAAAAAAGAATCTGTTTTTCTTTGTTTCTGTTTTGTTTTTTAAATGTTGCAAATAAATTATATTTCTTTATAAATTTAGGCAAAAATGTACTCTGCTATACCGTATATACTCGAGTATAAGCCGAGTTTTTCAGCACATTTTTTGTGCTGAAAAACGGCCCCCTCGGCTTATACTCGAGTCAACGTCTGCAGATGTCTAGCAGGGTAGACAGTGCTTCTCAAATAGGGGGGCGCGAGGCTCCG